TTTTTCAAGCCCCAGCATCACAGAGTATAGGGAGGAGGCAGAATTAGGAGGTGAGATAGTAGCTTAAGGTCCAGCACAGATTCGCTGGCGAGAGCAGATTTTGTCTTGTGCCATGTAGTTGTTTTCACATCACTGTTGACTCCTTGGTAATTTGTGCTAGTTTTACGCACCCCTTATTGGCTCTGCGGTGGTGAAATTGGGCCAGGGCAGGGAGGGCAGGGAAATTGGTACATGTTATCTCTCACTTTTTCTTTTTAGATGATTTGGTTTGTGGTCCCTGGTCCCTTACCTCCTATAGCTGTGTTTTGGTTCTCTTGGTAGAAGCCTTATTCTCAGGGCTTCCTTCCCCATTGATGGTCGACTCAGGGGTGTTCATGTGGTCCCCAATTCCTCCTCTCACATTTTCCAGTTTTCAGTGCTTCTGCTTGTAGGTGCCTGTGCATTGACTCCTGGACCATGTTTTACAACTGTCATTCAGGAGCAGGTCACTATGGCAGGAGGTATGTCCACCTGCTCCCTTTCTAAGGGGTCAGGATTCTGGGTAGGCCGAGTTTGTAGAGATACTTGCACCAGTTCACTCTGGAGGAGTGTCATCAGGGTGCAGAGCAGTTGGGTCCATTCCCAGCTCATCATTTGCCCTGGGTGATGTGGTCCAGCTTGGCATGATCCAGCCTTCCGGCTCCTCTCTAAGGGAAGACTCGAGGCCAGAGGCATCTCGTTCCTTGCCCTTTCTAGTTGGCTTTAGGACTGCTGGTGCATAAGGTGATGACGCCTGGTGCTGAGGACCTGCTGGCAGTCTGTCTGTGGCTGCTGTTCTCACCAAGCCAGGGAGATGTGTGGCTTGTGCTCCGCTCGCCTCCCTGCTTCCCTCACTGCTGTTGGGAACAAATTTTCAACCCATCCCAATCACAGCTTCCGGCCACGCAGTAGGCATTGCCCTCCACGTGAACTGTAGTGAGCAGAAAAGAAAAATAATCAAGTCCTCAGGAAAAAACACAAGTTCCTCCATGGTGGAGGATGCTCTGGCCTGAGCACCATTTCCAGCCGA